AAGTATTAAGCTTTCCTCATTATCATTTGTATACATTTGCCTGAGCTATATTCATAATGGAGAATTAGAAGTACTTATTTCCAGAAGTTAAATCCTAATTTAAAAGCATTATAAATTGTATATTAGTTTTCTGGTAAGGACCGCCTGTAAACAACTAAATTAGCTTTACTTTACTAGTCCCTAAGGCAGGTTGCACTGTATTATTAGCTAATGCTAAATTTCATTTGTTTTCCTTTTAATTTCAATTGCCGTTTAAAACAAATTGCAATTTCCTGTTCTGGTGTCACTTCCTTTGGTTTTCCTGGGCTGTTTCATAGTTGTCAAGCTATCAGAAAAAGTTGCCTTGAAATTTTTATTTTTGCTTTTTAAAATACAAAGCTAATGATCTTCATTGCTGCTTTCTCTTAGGTAAGAACACTGTTTATGATCAGGAAGACCATCTCATTTTGGTAATGTATAAACCTTTCTAATGAGAAGATGTAAATCCCCGCACGCCACTTCACATTGATTAGAGATGTTATCTATAGCCATTTTCAAATGATGTACCACTTGTGAGGGAGACGCATGCAAGATAGTTAAATGGCTTCATGGAATATATTCAGCAAGGGTTCTGTTTGAGTGACTGGGAATTGTACATTTCCACAGTTTGTACTTGTCTAAGTTCCATGCAGAGATTTAACTGAGTTTGTAGAAGTTGGCTGTGGGACCTGTCATCACAGTTCTCCCCATGCACATTCACTCACCACAGTTTATATGAAAAGATCCCACAACACACATGATTGTGATGTGAACATAAATGTGTAGGTTTAAATGCAACAGCTTAAATTTCTCCTCCTCTGGCAAAGAAAGCAGTTTCATGTATATACTGCTTCATACCGCGCTATGCAGTGTCTAAGCCAGGGGTAGGCAACCTTTCCCCTTTAAGGGCCGAGGGACTTCAGCTCCCAGAATCCCAGGATCTATTGGCCAACATGGGACTATTGGCCAACATGGCTGAGGCTTCTGGGAGCTGAAGTCCTTCGGCCCTTAAAGGGGAAAGGTTGCCTACTCCTGGTCCAAGCGGTTTACAACTGTAAGCTCATTGCCCCCCAACAAGCTGGGTATTCATTTTAGCGATCTCAGAAAGATGCAGGCCTGAGTCAAGCCTGAGCCCTGGCTAATATTGAACTCACAACCTTGTGGTTTATGAATGAGTGGATGCAGTACAGGCATTTAACCACTGCGCCGCAACAAAAGAGAAGGCTGGTGTGATCTTTTGTTGTGACAGCCATCATTCCTTCTGAGCCGTTTTATTTATTCTTCAGATTTATACACTGTATCTCAGCCAAGATTTCCTATAAAAGTTACAATCACAAAAACAGTTCCATCTAGTGATAGTAATTTACGCAGAAAAACACCCAGCTAAATAAACTGTTTTATATATGAAACTCAGTTAATCATATGTGACAAGCCCTGAGATAGGTTTGTAAAAATGAAACCGTGTCTCTAATACCATTCTCCTCAGTAACAGTAAAGTTTTGTGTTAGACAGTTGTTTCTTCTTAATTATATACATAAATTAACTGGATTTCAGAGAGTATAGTTACAGATTACATACTTAAATAATATCCACAGTTGAAACAAAAACAAGCAAAGCAATTTGCCACCTTAAAGACTGACACATGTATTATGGTCAAAGCTTTTGCATCATCCAGAGTTTTATATTTGGTGAACTTTTAAGACCTTTGCACTGTTCTATCCTTGCTTCTGGTTTCACTCTTGATTTTATTTTTATATTGCTGTTAGTTTTATCTTGTTTTTATCTGGTTTGTTTAATTGCCATATTGCATTACACCCTTAACTTGTATGCTTCCCAGAAAATTTCAGTTAATTTACAAATACAATTTAAAAATAAAGTGACTCTTCTCCCTGCACACTGTTTTGGCCAGGAATATCATGCATAGCACTACTACAGCACTGATCTATTTTCTACTTGCATATAGTTTTAATTCATGAAAGGAAGGCCCAAGGATGAGGTAATAATGTAGGAGAAATTTCAGAACTTTAATTCTTCATGATGTGTTATTGAAAAGCTGATACTGCTGTCTTCCCTTTATCTCAAACCTGTAGTACTTGGGTAGAATGTAGCAGTGTTTGTGTCTGAAGCACCTTAGAACTTGTATTCTGG